GGGATCTGTAGACTATGCATATTTAAATTTAGTAATTCTAGTTTCTTTAACAATTTAGCTGTGCAGATATTTTGGGTCTTTTTTCTTTTAAAATCTGGTATTTTTGCCCTAGCCAGTTTGGCTTAGTGGATAGAGCTTCAGTCTGTGGACTGAAGGGTCTCTGGGTTCGTTCCAGTCAAGGGCACATGCCCAGGTTGCTTGATCCCCACCAGGTGGCGTGCAGGAGGCAGCCAATCAATGATTCTCATCATCGATGTTTCTATCTTTCCCTCTTCCTCTCTGAAATGAATAAAACTGTATTTAAAAAAAATAATTATTGGGACTGGGTAACAGGTTTTTGGGAGTTCACTGTACTGTTTCATCTACTTTTATGCATGTTAGAAATTATCCATATTAATTATTGGGACTGGGTAACAGGCTTTTGGGAGTTCACTGTACTGTTTCGTCTACTTTTATGCATGTTAGAAATTATCCATATTAAAAAAAAGAGCAAAAATAACAGTATCTTACTTAATCAGAAACGTGCTAGTTTAATTCTTCTAAAGAGCCATGCAGGTCTGCCTGGTGTGGCTTAATTGTTGAGCATTGACCTATGAACCAAGAGGTCATAGTTCGATCCCCAGCAGGAGGCCTGCAGGAGGCAGCCAATCAATGATTCTCTCTCATCATTTATGCTTCTCTCTCTCTCTCTCTCCGAAATCAATAAATATATTAAAATAAAATAAACCATGAGGTTTCTAGTAACTTTACATTTTAACTGAAAGCAAAGTACGTTTTATAGTTGATAAAAACCATCTTAAAATTAGTTCAAGTGAGTCTGGGTTAGGCATCATACTAGAAAGAAGAAAATTAGCTCCAGGCTCTTAACTGACTAGTATTCACTGAGATGCTAAGCCAGGAACTGGCTCACTAGACACTAAATCTGCAGATGGGACTAAATTGGGAGGCGTTGCAAACACCAGAAACAGCGAGGTGCAAACAGTCACATGAACAATGAGGTTCCAACAAGAAAAAATGCAAATGTATGCAGAGAAAAACAACGTGCAGATGACAACTCTGTAAAGGAAAGAACGTCTGAAAAATGCTGGCGGGTGAAAGGGGACAGGTGCCAAGAGGGGCGAGTTGCACGTCTCGTGGACGCCAGGAGCCGCAGGAAGCGAGTCAGTTCAACCATGAAGATATAGCAACAACACCGGGGCAGAAAAGTAAAACCAAATAGGAGAGGATGATTGGGAAACGGGAGACTTCCCAGGAAAGGAAAGGGATGCTATGGGAGAGGTGGGTTATTTCCAAATAGTTGATTTGCCAAGCAACCCACCAAGCACGTCCAATCTCCTCTGCCTCTGCCCCCGGCCCCAACACAGTCAGGAGAGGCCACTATAGCTGCTCTGAAAGGAAGGTCTCCTTCACCTACTTAACGGTGTAACAAATGTTCTCTGGTGGCAACCAGCTCCTATTAGACCGACTCCAGCACCTCACAACTCACAGGCCCAAAATACTGGCCGATACATTAATATCAAAGTTTGATACATTAATATCAAACGTTCCCCTTGCTAAAACAGGGACCAAATATTTAACATTATCCACCTCTAAAGAGTGCAACACACTTACAATTTAATTTAACCATCATAATACTGCGATGGTAGGAAGGAGGAAATAATCGCTTCATAGAAAGTTAAAGATAAACTATGCAGAGTGGCCCTAGCTGGTTTGGCTCAGTGGATAGAGCAGGGGTCCTCAAACTTTTAAAACAGGGGGCCAGTTCACTGTCCCTCAGACTGTTGGAGGGCTGGAGTATAGTTAAAAAAAAAAAACTATGAAAAAATTCCTGTGCACACTGCACATATCTTATTTTGAAGTAAAAATACAAAACGGGAACAAATACAATATTTGTATTGGCATGTGGCCCGCGGGCCGTAGTTTGAGGACCCCTGCTTTAAGAAACAACAACAACAAAACAGAAAACTATGCAGCGTGTTTATAAAACAAAAAGAGGTTTACCCCGAATTTAACATTATCTCTGGGTGCTAGGACTACATGTGATTTTGTTTTCTGTATTTTTTCAATTTACACAGCATCATGTATAACAATCCACATGTAATAAGAATTCATAAGATGGAGATACATGAAAAAAGAGCTTTATATGCTATTTACAGATCTGCAAAGGCACCTTACAGAAGAAGCAGGTGGGGGAGGAAGGGAGGAATAAACAGAAGAGAGAGGTCAGTTGAACAATTCCTACCTCTAGTCTTCTTAAAGCTCAGGATGTTATTGCTTCTGAAAGAAATGAACAACAGTGCAAAAACCAGCCTGAAAACACCCAGCACAGACTGACTACACAAGACTTAATCCACTGTGTTTGTCACTGGGTCCTATATTTAAGAACAATGCCAATACCATTAAATCAGATGATTATTACAACCAGGTATTTTAGTCTCTGTGAAACAAAGAAGGAAATGGGAAACTTGAGACTATTAATAGCATCTGCTTTTTAAACAGTCGTGCAAGTTGAAGGCATCTCAAGAGTCGGAAAGAAATCACCAAACCGCCCAGATTACACAGTACAACACATCATAAAATATTAAAGAATCTGATAAAAATTACTTTTAAGGCCGGCAAGTGTGGCTCAGCGGTTCGGTGTCAACCTATGAACTAGGAGGTCACAGTTGGATTCCCAGTCAGGGCATATGCCTGGATTGTGGGCTCCATCCCCAGTAGGGGGCGTGCAGGAAGCAGCTGATCCATGATTCTCTCTCATCATTGATGTTTCTCTCTCCCTCTCCCTTCCTTTCTGAAATCAATAAAAAAATAGTGTTTTTTTTAATTACTTTTAAAATTTAAGGAATCTGTAGTTGATATAACATCTGTCAATGAACTTGCCCTGAAACAAGAGAAACTGTTTTAAAATTTAATAACTCACTGGAAAAAGGAGACATATGTAATACTATATGTAATACTTTAAACAGCAAAGAATGAAAAACAAGAACAAACAAAAAACTCACTGGATTTCAAAGGATCACATATAAAAATGGACAGTATTTGCTCTACCCAAAGCAGGGCCATGGTTTAAATTGATTTTCTCTGACAAACTCTGGGGAAAGCTGGTTCAGCTTTGTCTACAACAGGCAGTGCTGAGAACAAACACCCCAAACTCAATGGAAGAATCTGGAAAATGCTACCCATACTGAATAAACCTTTGCAATTCCAAAATAAATTCCAAAAACATGTAGTTAGCCCTTCCTTGTTAACAATAGAACGCCATTTAAAAACTCTCTTTCAAAATACATACTCGATTCTGAAAAAAGAGCAGTCAGATCGTTATTCTACAGTGAAGAAAACTCTTCTAAACTGGAATGTTTATGGGGATTTGCAAAAATCAACAACTGACAGTTGCCTCGTCTATAGGTGGAGAAGAAAAACTCTGCTGGAGGTGGTCGAACAGGAATATTTATTTAGGGCTCCCTCATACTCAAGAACCCACATGACCCCCACCATCTCACGTCCCCTCTGTGCATCCTCCAGGACCCCTGCTTTTTCCTTCATTTCTTTCTTTCTTATCCTTCTCAAAAAGTTTTCCTGAACTAGACATACCACAGATTTGAAGGCTTAGAACTCAGAGATCTCATAAAGCACTTTCCTAAAACTTTCTATATTACAGATCAGGGAACTGAGACCCAGAGGTGAAATATTTGCTCATTCTTATGCTCCCCCTCAACCCCACGTGACTCTAAAGGTTTTACATACGTCCTTTTTAATTCAAAAATTCAAGTACCTACATTTCAAAGAGCAACTTAGATTTTAGAAATTTTCTATGGAATTTGGAAAAGTTGGTATATTTACTCTTATTTGAAATGTCTGTTAGACTGCCTTAAAATTTTTTTAAAAAAGATTGGGGCTTCCTCATTGATTATATCAGAAGATTCTATTTGGGGTTAACCTTTATGTCATATGGGGGAGGGGGTTATGTACATCACACACACACACACACACACACACACACACACACACACACACACAGAATAACAGTACACTGTTCTTGTGGCCTTTGTCTACCATGTGGACAACTGATGTCACAAAAAGTGACAGCTGTGTTCCTCTATCCCCTCCGGAAGACAGGGGCATGTGAGATTATAAGAGCTGATCATGAGGGGGGGAGTGTTAGGCAAAACGATTTCTGGTGCTTGATGAGACTGATGCCATTTTAAGCAAGTTGCTCATAGTGACCGCCAGGCCTGTATCATCTGAAAGGAATGTTCTTATGTAGACAAATAGTCCCATTAAGCTGTTTACTGCTTTGAAATATACAGGGCTACTGATCTGGTTGGGAACCAAGAAAAACCTCCAGGGAAAGAAATGAATTAATAAATAACAATTTCGTTTTCAAATATTCACCAAGCCTGCAGACATTCATAAAAATGAATTGAAAGAAGGACCTAGGAGTTTCCACCCTGTTTTAAATTATTGAAAATTAAATACCGTAAACACCAAAACATAAAAATATTTTAAAACAAAAAATATATAGTTTGCACATACTTTTCATGAATCTTCAAGACTCGATGGACTATCGGAATCTCTCTTCCTTCTATTCTAAAAACAACAATTTCTCCCACTCGTATGGGATCTTCCACTCGATTTGTTAGGAAGAGAAGATCTCCTCTATGAAATGCAGGTTCCATGCTGCCACTGGGAGGGACAGAAGAATACAGCAAAGAGAAAGTCAGAGATTAAATTTACTTTCAAAATTAGATATTCAACAAAATCATCTCAAGTATCACCTTTGAAATATACCCAATACCTTAACAAATATATTGACGACATAAATGTATATTGTTCTGAAAATATGGTTTCCTCAGACTAAGGAGTTATACTAAAGGTCTCTTTAGTTGTTAGCATTTATTAACTTCTTCCATTTCAAGCAGTACTATTCAGAGGTGCTTAAATCTTTGAAAAGGGCAATGCTACTGATTCTTTAACCTTTTAAAATTTCAAGTGACAAACAGAATGAACTTTATAATCACTGCTCTTATCCTCACGTCTTCTGAAAACAATAAACACATTCAAATATTCAAATGAGAACGTCTCCTGCCATTTATAAAGTCACAGACCAAGATGACCTTATGATTTCAAACCACAAAGAAGTAAGAGCTCAAGCCAAAAACAGTCAGCTCCAGAGATAATGCTTGTGTTATCAATTTATTTATTTAAAAAAAAAGAAAAAACAAGAGAGAAAACCAAGGCCGAGAGAAGAGATTTTTGCCTCAGAATTTCAGAAATGAGCAAAGCATTAATTTCCATAGAGGAAAAAGTCATCTCTCACCGAGTGCTTCAAAGGTCCTAAGATATGTGCATTCATAAGGAACCTTTTCTTTCCATGAGGAAGAAGGCAATCAGTATTATTTTTAGAAACTCAAGCTCCAGTTTTCAATAATAACAGATTTAGTAAGAAGAAAATGGATAGACAGGGGATAAAAATCAAGACAGTGTTCTCTGTTTGAAGACTCTGGACTCTCTATATAAGGAGACTGACTAAGGCTTAGGGAGGCCTGAAGTTATACATCAAGGCAATAATAAAGGAGATCTGAACCAAGGGAGTCCAGTGAAATCCACTCTCACTGTGCCAAACTGCCTTCGAGTCACTCTAGAATTTTAAGCACAAAGTATCACAATAATATTTGCATTTAAGAACCATCACTTCAGAAGCTTTGGATATACAGAAGTCATTCAAATATTTATTGAATTAATAAGTAGAATGGATGAGAAGGTAGATTTGGGGACCAGCTGTGCAGGCTATTACTTAGAATTCACATTTTGCAAATATTAAACGTTTTATTTAAAAAATAGACACAGGAGAATAAGGTAAAAATACAGAGAAAAGGATGTATATACAGAATTACCTCAATTATATAAGAAATACTATGTGAAAAAAGAGACCAGAGTATTAACAATTATATCCCAGAGCTATGGGTGACTTAGTTTCATCTAGATTATTGTGTGTGTTTTTTCAACATTTCATATAATGAAAACATACTAACTTTTTTCCTGATTGTAAAAGCAGTTTTTTAAAGGTCACTGCAACAGCCCAGGCTGCTGAGGAGGAAACGATGAGGGCCTGAAATAGAACAACAGCAGGGGGACGACTTATAAAGGGTAGAACAGAGATCAGGAAAAGAACAAACTTGATGGCCAACTAGATATGACAGAACGACTCCTAGGTTTTAACACTGGCCACTGAGTAGATGACAGTGATAGCCACAGAAAAATGAGGAAAAAGGACAGGGTTGTGAGAAAAGATGAACTTCACTTTTCATGACATGGGGTTCCAGGTGCCTGGTTAACGCGCAGGTGCAAGTGTCCAGTGTGGGGTGAAAACAGTCTAGATACCAGGGAAGAAAGGTAGGGGAGAGATAAACAGATTTAAAAGTTCAGCTATAGAGACAATTGAGCAGATAAGCCCTAGCTGGTTTGGCTCAGTGGATAGAGTGTCAGCCTGCGGACTGAAAGGTTCCAGGTTCGATTCTGGTCAAGGGCACATGCCTTGGTTTGCGGGCTCGATCCCGAGTAGGGAGCGTGCAGGAGGCAGCCAGTCAATGATTTTCTCATCATTGATGTTTCTATCTCTCTCTCCCTGCCTCTCTGAAATCAATATGTTAAAAAAACAACAACCACGCACACAGATAAAAGTGTGCAGTGAGAGGACCATTAAAGAAATAAATAAGGGGAGCCCTGGCTGGGTGGCTCAGTTGGTTGGAGCATCAACCTGTACACCATAAGGTGTGCGTTCAGTTCCCAGTCAGGGTACATATCTAGGTTGCTGGTCTGATCCCCATTCGGGTGTGTGTGTGTGTGTGTGTGTGTGTGTGTGTGTATGTGTGTGTGTGTGTGTGTGTGTCAGAGGCAACTGATCAATGTTTCTCACATCAATGATTCTCTCTCTCTTCCTTGCTGTATAAAATCAGTAAAAATATATTCTCAGGCGAGGATTTAAAAAAGAAAGAAACCAGGAGAAAGTTATTTATTTTTATTAATTTTAGAGATAGAGAGGGGAGAGAAAGAGACAGAGAGAGAAAGAAAAATTGATTTGTAGTTCCATTTATTCATTTATCCATTGGATGATTCTCGTATGTGCCCTGATCAGGAATAGAACTCACAACCTTGACATATTGGGATGATGCTCTAACCAACTGAGCTACCCAGCCAGGACCAGGGAAAACTTTTTAAACATTAAATAAATTATTAGTAACCTTCTTAATATTTTTTTATTAAACTATACTTTTAAATTTAAACATAAATCATGAACAATTTTATAAGATGTTATGTATAAATTATTGAAATATTTTTAAATTGGCTTCAGCTCTGTAAAGACAAAAGTTTTCAATGTTCCCTGAAACATGAATTAAACAAGTATTTGTCTCTAACGTCTTCACAAAGATCCTAAAAGTGGATTCTCAGTTGGCCTGAGCCTTCTGAGGCATATTTGATTCAGATAAAAATTATATTCCTTACAGTAACATGAAACCCTGGCCAGGCCACCCAATCACATGGATTGTCTTTCTCTAATGACTGCTCCTTCCAGCCCTGACCAGAGTCTCTTCTAAAATGACTTGGTCTCTTTTAACTTCTTTTTTAAAAATGTTTTTATTGATTTTAGAGATAGAAACATCAATGATGAGAGAGAATCATTGATCAGCTGCCTCCTGCATGTGCCTACTGGGTATTGAGCCCACAACCTGGGCATGTGCCCCAACTGGGAGTCAAAACGGTAACCTCTTGGTTCATGGGTTGACACTCAACCAGGGAGCCACACTGGCCAGGCTAATTTCTTAATTCCACATTGGCAATCAGAAAAGTTTAGTATATACATAACCTAGCTACCAAATAACTTATCTAACCACAAGTCCCTACTGATTACAAATTTTCCAGCTATAGCAAAACTGGGCTACTTTCAGAACCATCCATGAGCAAGTCCTTAGTCATTCGATTGTCTTTAAACATCTCCGATGAAGGAGACTCAATCTGAAGTTATCCCAGAAGAGTATGCACACGTGCCTCCCTGGGCCCTCTCTCCACACCTGTTCCCCACAGAGCCAATTCGTGTGGCTTCCCCTTCTGTTGGTGTTTGGATACTTCACCAACCGAAGCTCTCCCTGAATCCAGGACTGTCTGAGAACTTCAGGCCACATGATTTTAGAATTGGAAAGGTCTTCTGACCTCATCTAGGTCCGGCCTTCAGTTCATTGATGAAACTTTGGTTTAGTGAATAAGTGACTTGCCCAATGGTGTAGTCAGACAATGAAAGCGACGGAGATCCAATTCTCTATACTTTCCCAGCTAATAAAACCCATACATTTCTGGGGATCTCTAAAGTTACAGTTGCATTTGATTATTAATAAAAACAGAACTAAGGTCAAGTAAGACATTGGAGACTCAGTGTTTCCAACCACTTGTTGCTGGAAGTATATCCTATACCAGTGGTCGCCAACCGGTGGTCCCAGGACCTCTGGTGGTCTGTGAGGTCCGTAAGGTTGGCGACCACTGTCCTATACAACAAAGGAGTCAAATTCATCTTGTTGAGAGTAATGTACTATTAATTAGACTCTAGATAATGTTAATGATTCATTTTATTTCATGTTTATACTCCATTATCTCCGGAAAAGACTTGGGAGAGCTTTTATAATTAAGCCCCAAATAGGACAGAACCATAATGACTCAATTAAGTAACCAAATGGTAATTTCCCAAAAATGAGTAAATTAAGTTTTTAAAGTACTAACATTAGGAATATAAGGAGGAGGAAGAAGTACAGTGGAGAAAAAATTCAGTACTACTTGTCACTTTAAGAGAGGCATTAGTAGCCTGGCCAGCGTGGCTCAGTGGTTGAACACTGACCTATGAATCAGGAGGGTTCGATTCCCGGTCAGGGCACATGCCTAGGTTGCAGGCTCAATCCCCAGTGTGGGGTATGCAGGAGGCAGCCAATCAATGGTTCTCTCTCATCACTGTTGTTTCTATCTCTCTCTCCCTCTCCCTTCCTCTCTGAAATCAATGAAAATATACTTTTTTAAAAAAAAAAGAGATGGCATTAGTATATTCAAGATTCCTGAAGTCTATTTAGAAGTGATATTTAAA